GGCCCGCAGGCGGGAGGGACGCCGGGGTTCTCCGGCGGACGCCGTTTGGGCAGGGCGGGTCACGGGGTCAGGCAGACACACCTGGGGATCGCCCCCAGGGTGGGGGATGGGGTACTCTCCCGGACGCAGCTCCTACTGAGCATGCTCAGTGGAGGGTCCGGCCGCAGGCGCAGGCTGGGGGCCCACCTCCAGCGCCCAACGGGGGAGAGGGAGGCCGGGAGTCATTATGGAAAAATACCAGGTGCCGAGTTGTGCCCTTTGGCAGGGAGGCGTGGGCGATGAGGGCTTAAGGTCTAGGGCGAGCCAGGGACCTGGACCTCTTGCCACCACTCAGCCTTCTGCTGGTTTAACGGTCACACCGGTGGAGAGGTGCCCAGGAGCCAGGTCCTACCCTAAGGAGGCAGGGAACCCATGTTCCGGTCAGTGTCTGCCTCTAGCTCGTAGGGTGACCTCGGGTATCTCCAAAGGTGACTTCCTGGGTGCCCTTTGCCTCTCTGGACCTCAGTTTACCCCTCTCTAAAATGATAGAGTTAAGAACTCTCCAGCCCCATTTGTCTGAGTGTTTGAGGGTGGAAGACAACTCCATCCTTCTCACCCATGGGTCCATGGGCTTGGGACCATGGAGACGGGACATCCTAGATCATCCAGAATTCATAATCAGGAGCCCCCTACTCCTTAAACACCCTGTCAGTTGTCTCCGGTAAGGGGACTTGGGCCTTTTCCAGAGCCTGTGAAAATGTGTGGGGCCTGAAAAATTCACAAAAGGAAAGCCGCAAAATAGAGATGAATAAATGTTTAATTAAATGCTTCTATACATAATATGCCAACTTTACTAAATGTTAGATTCAGTCTTTGTAAAAATGTCATTAACCTGAAAATAATTTGTAAATCAGATTTTTCTCACTTTGTGAGGCTTCCACGTGTGTAGAACTACAAGGGAGTCAGCTAGTGGAGAAGCAGATGCGTTTCTGGCGGCCAGAGGATCTTAAAAGCCATGTTACTTTTTTAGGAAAGTCTTGATCTGAGACGGCGCTTTTTACTACTTAATTTGCTGCTTAAGAGGCCTAAGCATGTGCATTCTTACACCAGCTTAAACTATTCAGGGGCATTGTCCCTATTATTTTCGGAGCAGGATTCAGGCCACCCACGGGGACTGGATTACAGAGTCCTGAAACTTTTCTGGACTCCAAGAGTCCCTTGACCCACAGTTCCATCCCCGACATCCCTCCTCTGCGTCCTGCCTTGCTTCCTCCATTCTGTGATAAATGTAATAGCACTGTCCGTCCTCACCCATAGCCCCAGCAGAGGGCATGGCGGCCATCTCTGCCGCTTTGGCTCAACGCACAGGCTCTAGAGTCCGGCAAGGACCCAGCTCCCTGCGCCCCAATTTCCTCTAATGTGGACGTGGAAATGGCAATGGTGCTGACCATGTGACGTGCTTGGCACAGAGCCCGACATGTGCACGGCTGAGACTATGACTGCACCAGTTATGAACCAGTGACTTTCGTGTTTGGTTACCCAGTTTGGAGGCGGGTGCCAGAAGTTGGGATCACAGGGGGCCTAGAGAAAGTGAACGAATCCTTTGCCGACTCTTGGATGCTCACCAGTCCCGGCCGCAGCGTGGAGACGGGGCACGGGGTGATGGGAAGAGCTCCAGAGCCAGCCCCAAAGAGACTGGCTCGGGTTCCACCTTCGAAGGGCTCCTCAGCCTTCTGGGCCATTTCTTAAGCCTGCAAAACAGGGCAGAGATGCGTGCTCTGCCCGCAGCCACAGGGACGTTCAGAGGACCAGAGGCAGCTTGGGAGCCGGCCGTACTTTGAAGAATGAAAAGACGTGTGTGTTTCCTAAAGCTTCTTTCCTTCTTGCTGGTAGATTTTGGAACAGCTGAATCCTGGGGCCTTGGGGGTGAACCTGGTAGTGGAGGAGATAAAAACCCAAGTAAAGCTTGTGATAAAGCAGGTAAGAAGTCGCGCCTCTGGCACCCCAGTGCGGGTGGTTCCCCCCAAACACACGCTCATCATCCCCATGTCAGAGAACGCTTTCTGATGCGACAGCTGGATTCCTCTCTGCCAGCAATGACATGGCGCATCCGGTCGAGGGTAGACGTAGGGGTGGCGTGAGGCAACTCGGGCTTCCCTGCACAGGTGGCGCTCATCTCAGTGGAGAAATGCTCATTTCCACGCTGGTAGCGAACACAACCGTGTGTAGCTGCCGTCCATTCAGCAAAGCGTCCTCTCATTTAATCGTCCACCAACCCAGCAAAGCAGGGGCCGTGACCCTGCTTTCCAGGCAAGGACAGGGAGGTTCCGGGAGGCGGCAGACTAGCCAGCATCACACAGTTCCCGAGACGATTTGAATTCAGGCCACCGATTTTACCAAAGAGAAGACAGGCTGGGGGGGCCCGGGACTTGCGCAGCGTCACACAGGGCTGAGGGCGGGACACCAGGCCCTCGGCCCCTCCTCTACTTCCTCATCAGGGCCGGCAGGGCAGGGCGGGGTGCAGACGTGCAGGGGACAGCCCTCATGTGTTGAAGTCCAGGAGGCCCAGTTGCACCGAGGGTCTAGGGGAGGAGGGCGGCCTTAAAAGAGTCCCTGGCACCCGGTCGGGGTCCGCAGTGATTGCCGGGATACGACGGGATCGGGGCTGACCGTGCAGGCAGGCAGTCTCGTCGGTGGCCACCGCAGGAGCCCTTCTGCCCTGCCAGGCCTCCTGGCCGCGGGCAGCTCAGCGATCTCTACCCGAGATGGCCCGGCTTGGAGTGCTTACCCGCCTCCTGCTGCATTGCCCGCTGGCTGTGGGGACGGCCCCGTGGGCCTTGGGAGGAACAGCTGACTGCATTCTGGGCAATCAAGAAGCTTTTTTAAAAGCCAGTCCGTCTTTCTGAAACACAGAGGTGGGGTGCAGGAAGGGGCTTGTGTACCCTTGCAGTCTAAACGTTTGCATACTCCTTTGTTTTCGCGAGAATGGCGCTGCAGTTGATACTGTGCTTGTTCCCTCTCAGTGTACCGTGAGCACTATTTTCGCCACCGACACGGCTCCCTCCTCTCCCGGCTCCGGTGGCCGCGTGGACGCGCACCTGCTCAGTGCGCTGTAACTGACCCAGTGCAGCCTCTCACGTGCTCCAAGCACGCAGCTTGTTCTCTATGTTTCGCTCTGTATAAACGACTCTGACAACCTCATAGTTAATCTTTTTGAGGATCCATGGTTTCCTTGGGATAAACGTCTAGGGCTGGGATTTCTAGGTCAAAAGATGTGACATTTTTAAGGCTCTCAGGATGCTCTAACGGAATTAACCTAAGCATGAGCCCCCTGGAACAGGAGGAGGGGACGACAGGCAGACTCGCTGTAGCGCTGCATCTGGGGGCTTTACATGGCTCTGGGAGTAGTTCACTAACTGCACTTTCGTCTGCAATCACCCCGATTATAAGAGTTCATTGGTGAGTCTTGTGACCGGAAGTTCTGGGTCAGGATCTGGTGGTAGACGTGATGATGGGGACAATCTTCCCAATTTGGATGAGGAATGCAGTGCTGAGGTTGAGACTTTGCTGATCAGAGCAGAGCCGTTCGGCTCTGGGGCCAACATGTTATTTGCTTTTCTGTTTTTTAGACGGATCCCCTAATTATTGCTTGGAATTTATATTATGCTATCCCACACTTACCCTTGCAGCACGAGCAAATATATTCTCGTTGCTCAAAGTATGTTTGGATCCCTGCCTTAGGAACATCTCCAGGCCCCCTATGGTGCCATGTGGTGGGACGTGAATGATAGGAGCCTAGCACCGCTGGTGAATAATGGTGGTGGTGGTGGTGATGGTGGTGATGGTGGTGAAGATGGTGGTGGTGGTGTTGATGGTGGTGCTGATGGTAGTGTGTTGATGGTGGTGGTGAAGATGGTGGTGTTGTTGGTGGTGGTGGTAATGGTGGTGCTGATGGTGGTGTGTTGATGGTGGTGGTGAAGATGGTGTTGTTGTTGGTGGTGGTGGTGATGGTGATGGTGAAGGTGTTGGTGGTGGTGTTGGTGAATAATGGTGGTGGTGGTGGTGATGGTGGTGGTGAAGGTGGTGGTGGTGGTGATGTTGATGGTGGTGCTGATGGTGGTGATGTTGATGGTGGTGTTGATGGTGATGGTGATGGTGGTGGCGGTGATGATGGACATGGTGGTGGAGATGGTGGTGGAGATGGTGGTAGAGACGGTGTCGATGGCGATGATGGTAGCGATGGCTTACTACACTGAGCCAGTGCTCTTGTGCCCCTGCAGGTGGAATGCATCGATGATCATAATGCCAACGAGGCCCTGGAGGAGGTAGTGGTGGTGATGTTGATGGTGGTGTTGATGGTGATGTTGATGGTGATGGTGGTGATGGTGGTGATGTTGATGGTGGTGTTGGTGGTGATGGTGATGGTGGTGGTGAAGATGGTGTTCATGGCGGTGATGATGGAGATGGTGGTGGAGATGGTGGTGGAGATGGTGGTAGAGACGGTGTCGATGGCGATGATGGTAGCGATGGCTTACTACACTGAGCCAGTGCTCTTGTGCCCCTGCAGGTGGAATGCATCGATGATCATAATGCCAACGAGGCCCTGGAGGAGGTAACTCTGGGTGGGGACATGATGCAGAACACGCAGCCGCTGTCCTGCGGCCTCCTGCGGCGTGCCTGGTGGAAGCTGGGCGGAGGCGGGGAGGGCCAGAACCCGCTCTCGCTCTGCGCTCTGCAGCCAGATGCCCCCAGGTCACCACGGGAGTCTGTGCTCAAACATTCATTTCTAAATCCGGATGCTGACGACTTAGGATTTCTGTTCTCAGAGAAGATAAAGTGTAAATATAGATTACAGGTTCCTAGGCTAATCTACCGATAATTATCTTTTAAAATACTTTTTTTCTTCAATTATAAAAGTATTAACTACAGCAGAAAATTCAGAAAATACAGACTTGTAAACTGTTTCACATTCCTTAAATCTACCAGTCAGAGTGACAGTGGCATCCTCCGTGATGTGAATGACACGGCAGCCGCATGCGCTCCGATCGCTAGGCAGAGGCTCCGAGCGAGCGGCGTGCTTTGCCTTCTCGGATTTCACACGAAGCTAGACCCTACCCTCCCATCTAATGGCCACTCGTCTGTCTGCTTTCTGGAATGGCCAGCTTTCGGCCCTTGCCAGCAAACAGCTGTTCAGTCCACAGCGTGACTGACGCACAGGGGTGGCCACGTCTGACAAAGTGAAGGAAGGCCCACCTGTGGCCCACCCGTAGCCCCCACGCCCTCCCGGCCTCTCGCGGTCCCTTCCCCACGCCCCAGGCGACCTGCTTCCGCGCCCGCTCCCCACAAGCGGCCCTCCTTCTGGCTCTTGGTCGCTAAGGTCGCCATGTCTGCTGCCCAGTGGCGTCTCTTCTCGAAGCGCTTTCCGCTGGGGGCGGGGCCCTGGGGCAGGAGGCCAGGCGGGCCTGGGCACATCCGCGTCCCCGCTCCCTTCGGCCACGCCGCCTTCCCCAGCCGGCCCTGCCTGGGCTCTCTTTCCTATCCCCCCGGCGCTCTGCCTGCTTCCCGTCGCTCAGTCCTCGCGACACCCCGGTGAGGTGACCAGCGCTTTCGGATGAGGCCGGGAGGCGCCGGTGGAGGTTTGTCCTCCGTCCGGCACCGCCAGCACGTGCTGGACACAGGACCCGCGCCTGGCTTCTGCCCAGGCTGCACGCTCTCCTCGCGCCTGCTCCCTGCCCCGCTCGGAGCTCGGAGCTGGGGACGCGTCTCTGCCGGGCCGGGGGAGACAGCGCTGGCTGGGACACGGCGCTTCCCAAACATCCTTTTCTTCTGCTCTCCCGCCTGCAGCTGATGCCGCTGCTGAAGCTCCGGCACGACCACATCGCCTTCTACCGGGAGCTGTTCATCACCTGGAATGGCAAGGTGGGTCCGAGCCCACACCTGCGGGCCCGCTGGCGCTCGGCGGCTGCGGGAACAGGGGACCGAGCACAGAGCACCCCCACATGCCATCGCAAGCCCGCCTGTGGCAGCGGGGGCTCTCTGGGTGTCGTCCCCTGTGAGCCCCGCCTCGGGCTCAGTGGGGGAGGGGCTGACAGGCTGAGAGAAATAGGAGCCTCCCCGTAAGTCACGGGTGCGTGGTGCACCCGGAGGGAGGCCCGCAGCATGGCCCCAGTGCCCAGAGCATTCAGCTCCTGAGCTCGTCCTGCACCAAAGGCTCAGTGAGTCCGGACCTCGGGGTGCGGGGGGGGGTGTGACTTCCCTGGCCGGAGCTGACATCGGGGAGCTGGCCCCTGGCTTTCCCCGCTCATCTGGCACCAGGTGTCCGGGACCTCTGCACCCCAGGCTTTTGCGGCTCCCACAGAGTTTGCCAACCGGCTGCTGTTCATCCTCAGGCCCCAGGACATCCGTGGGGTGGGAAGTACTGTCCTCAGCTCCCGGGGACTCAAGGTGGCTAAGGAGCTCGCCAAGGCCGCACAGCTCGTAATGGCTGAGTGGGTGCCCATCCGGGCCTCGCGGCCCCCAAGCCCTGTGCTTCATCCCATGGGCTGTACAACTTCTTGTCTTCACAAGGAGCCAGAAGCTTTCAAATTACTGCAGGAGGAGGGGGGTGTCGAGCGGCGGGGGCTGGCAGCAAAGGGAGCCCGAGGGTCAGACCCTAACCGGACCTCCACACTGGTGCCCGCCGGGGGCTGGCAACCAAGGGTCTGAGCGGGAGCGGAGGGTCCCCCTCACACACATTCCCTCCCTTTTGGCTGGGCTCCGTGGAAAGCCTTGGGGAGGGGTCATCACCGCAGGCACCCCTAAATATTTTCTGACCACCCCTTAATGCTCTCAAGGAAACATGGAAAAGCCAGGAGGACATTTCACTGTGGGGGGGAAGGCGGGGTTGAGACCCCGGACCTAGTCTGCCGGGGTCCCCTTAGTAGCTCCTCAGAGGGAGGCCAGGGGCGTGGGCCGAGCCCGGAAGGATGAGCGGCCACCTGCGTGGAGGCACGGGCCCCGGCACAGGGTCTGCCGTGCAGTGGCCAGGAGGCCCGTGCAGCCTCTAGGAAGCCCAGGTGACGTCGTGTGGCTGCTGCTGGGGCGGGCGGGAGAGGATGGAAGAGGCTGGAGGCGTGAGCAGGACCTGCCCGTTGGGGGCTCGTCCCCACGAGTGCTCTCGAGGAGACACGGAAAAGCCAGGAGGACGTCCCACCGCTGAGGGGCCTCGTGTCCCCAGCAGATCTCCTCTCTGTTCCTCTGCCTGGTGATGGACTACAGCGCAGGAAGCTTCCAGAAGGTCATTGAGAAGAAGAGAGAGAAAAAGACCATCATCGACTCTGAGGTAAGACAGGCTCTAGGACACCAGGCCAGCTAGGGGACCATCTGGACCTGGCGACGTCACGGACCTCGCAGTGGGCACAGGGAAGGGGCAGAGTGAGGGCCGGTTGCTGGGGTCACAGCTCGGCACGTTCGCACAGTCACACACTCGCGCCGCGTCCCCGGGGCAAGAACGTCCCCAGAAGGCCACCCGTTCCCAGTGGGTCAGGAACCGCGGCGCCGAAGCGCACGGGGCTCGCACGGCGTGCGTGTGTGTGTCGCGTGTCTCACGCTCGTCCGGGTGCCTTTGAGAGCCGCCCACGCTGTCAGCGTGCCAGGAAACCGTCCCTTCCCCTGGCTGGTTCTGCAGCCTCGTGTGGCCGCACCCGAGCCTTGGAGCTCGTCTAGAGCTGAGTGTTCGGGTGGCCTCCAGTTTGGGGCCATGATGACTGAGGTGGCCACAAGCATTGCTAGGCGCGTTTCTTCTTGGTGGCCCTAAACGCTCATGTTTCCTGGAGAAATGCTGGGGCGTGGAGTGGGCGGGCGGCGGAGCCCCCGGGGGTGTGTGTGGCTTCCGCAGACTTTCCAGACGGTCCCCAAGCCGGCTCGATGGCCCCGGCTTCACTCTCAGCCACGCGGGGCTGTTCCGGTCCCACTGGCCAACACTCGAGTGTGTCTGTCCTTTTTCTTTAAATGCAAAGTGACGTTTTAATCCTAGCGACCAGATCACGAGTAACCCTGGCTGTCCGGGGCTCCCGTCCTGTGTTTGCTCAGGTTCCGCCCTTAAACCCTGGGTGTCCGTCTGCTCCTACTGATCTGTGCCGGTTCTTTACACGTCCTGGACACCAGCATCCGCAGTGTCCCCCCGCCCCCCACCTGGCCAGCTCCCTTCCTTCGCCAGGGCTTCGACGGGCGGAGCGCTTCACGGCGACGCGGTGGGCGGGTCCGCTTCTCCCGTGGCTGGCACCTTTGGCGCCCGTGGCAGCGGCGTTTCCTGAGCGGGATTGTCACTTCCTTGCACCTTTAGGTCCGCGACCCGTCCCAGGGGACGGTGCCTGCTTTTGCTTGGCTGGCCTTCGCCCGGCGGGCCTTGGGCCTCGCAGGCAGGCCCCGAAAGGGTTGCAAACCTTTGGTGTGGGGTGGGACCCTTTCAAGCACAAATGTTCTCAGAAACCCAGTAAATAAAGCAGGTCTGCTCTAACCGGGGGGCCGGGGGCGGGGGTTGGTGGAAGGCGGAGTGGGAGGCAGCTCGGGGTCCTGCTCCTCATCCCTCTCTGACACCCCAGGGAGGCATCCAGGGTTCCGAGGAACACAGTTTGAAAACCACTGCCTGGAAACCCGGCTGAATCTTGTTGCTGACGCGAAATGCTTCCTGAATGTTCTCTCTCGGGTCTTTATTTATTCTAATGGCATAAAGCGGCAAGCCCCAAGTAGGCACTGAAGACCTCACGCTCTCTGACATCCGCAGGGCCACAGGGGTGGGGCTGGGGGCCAGAGCCCCAGGGCACCCACGGTCTCCAGTACTCAGGAGGTGTGGCCTCGGAGACCAGGGAGATTTCACTGTCGAGGAGCCTGAGGCAGACACTTCCTGCAGGGGCGCTGAGCTCTCGCCTAGCTTTAGGGCCCTCTCAAGATGCAGAGACTGTGCCAGGATCTCCGTGGCCGCTTTGAGTGGTCACGACCTCTACAAACAGCTGTGCCCCCCCCGGGGGGTCGGGGGGCTCTCGTCCGCATCTCTCTTTCTCCCCAGTGGCTGCAGAACATGCTGGGCCAGGTGTTGGACGCTCTGGAATACCTGCACCAGCTGGACATCATCCACAGGTGACCAGGGGGCCAGGCTGCTTCAGGAGGAAAGCACCACGTCCCCTTGGGCGACACTGCCCATGGGCAGGATCGAGGGAGGGAGGTGCAGACCGCACAGCCAGGATGAGGGCGGGGACCTGTCCAGAACACCTCCCAGGCTCTCGGAGAATGCCCCCCAGCAAGGGACCTCCAGGGATTCACCCTCCCCACGCAGCTGTGAGGTGTGAGCTGGCCGGGCGGGTCGGTGTGAAGTGCAAGGGCAGGAGGAAGCAGATACCAGATCCCCAGGACAGGAGGTGAAGCTGGGGGCGTGGGCTGCGCCAGCCAGCAGTCCTGCCTCACGCTCCGGAATCCATGGTCTGAGGGGCTGGGAAGGGCTTCTGATCGGATCAGTGTCCTATCGCAAGGACAGAAGCCACGTGGACCTTGGGAAGGAAGGAAGTGCCCAGGACTCGGTGGTGACATCAGCGGATGTCACCTGTTCCCACGTGCAGGAGAGCTGAGTGGTTTCCTCCTCAGTTTGTTTAAAACTAGAACAGCTGCAAGTCCCATCCCGCTCACAGGAAACAGCAGGTTTAAAGAGGGCCACGAAGGGGCGTTTACTGAGGAGAGGGGGTGTGAGCTGCCGGGCAGGGCGGGGGCCAGGGGCGGCCGGAGCAGAGCCCCCCATCCTGGTTTCAGGAACCTCAAGCCCTCCAACATCGCCCTGGTCAGCAGCAACCACTGCAAGCTGCAAGACCTGAGCTCAGAAGTGCTGATGACCCACAAAGCCAAGTGGAACATCCGTGCGGAAGAAGGTGGCCGGGTCCTCCCTGGCCGCGGGGCATCGGGCGGCGGGGGTG